GCAAGGAGATGGTCGAGGGCATGGGCGGCACCACCTCCCCCCTGTACCTCCAGTTCAAGCAGTACTGCTTCACCGCCTACACCACGCTCCGCAAGTCCGCCAACCTGATCCTGAACCTGTTCAGTCTGATGGTCGACGCCAACATCCCGGACATCCGCGTCGAGCCGGACAAGGCCGTCCTCAAAGTCAAGGAGCGTTTTCACCTGGAAATGACCGAGGAAGAGGCCATCCGGCACTTCGAGCAGCTCATCGGGGACAGCGTGAACGCCATCTTCGGGGTGGTCATCGATCGGTTGCATGAGTTTGTGCAGGGGTGGAGGGCTTGATTCGGCCCCTTTTTTATTGATGGATTCTTTCTATAGCGATGTTTACAAATGTTCCGAGTCATTGGGCAATTCTTAGAATAGGCATGTAGGAGTCAGGCGCTCTCCAGATGGGACGGATGGGCGCAAATTTACTTTTTTTCCCCCTTGCTTTCCCTATCCTTCAAATGCCTCTACATAGACATGAAACAACGGGCGGTCAATACCCTCTGTTCAGTTTCGCCTTTTCACATTTTCACAGAGAGACAAGAATCCTTACCGTGCTCCTGGAATCATAATCACATAGATAGACACAAGTCTATTCACCTGGACATTGCTTTTTTTGCTGTATCTAATCCGAAATGACGTCGTAGAATATCACAACCATTAAGATACTCCCGCGCAAGAAAGTTTCTTCACCTAGAGCACGCTTCTAATATCTAGAAACCCCTAACTCAACAGATCAACCCCGCCTCCGCTCCCCCTCCTCCTCATCCGGCCGCCGCCCCCAACCCTCGAGCTCAAGCCACTCCCGCCCTTCCTCATCGAGCTCCCGAGGATCTAATTCCTCGAAACCCTCCTTCAAGTGCGACGACCGACTCCCCAGATCCCCGCCATCCTTGGTATACCTCCTCCCCTTCACAAATAGACCGCCACTGTCTGAACTCACCCCGGAAGACCCCTGGCCCGCCTCCGTCCCAGCAGGTATGATGATCTCATCGTCGGGTCCCGAAGACTCTTGTCCCGGGGCCCTGTCCTTCCTCCCCGCTTGCGCTTGCGCTTCAGCTTCAGCATCTTCGTCGTCCTCCGGTGTCCCCTCCTTGCATGCCCACGCGTCCACGAAGCGAAGGACCTCGCGGGGCCACCATCGCTTCATGATCAGGAGGCGGAAGGGGACGAGGAGGACGATCAGCACGGGGAAGGCGGGGGCGCCGCGCGTGAGCGTGAGGATGAAGATGGCGACGGTGATGATGATTTGGAGGAGGGTATAGAGGTGGATGGGGATGTAGGAGGGGGTATTGAGGGCATCTTCTTCTTGAATGGTTAGTTCAGGGTGATTGCTGGTCTGGGTGTTTGTGGTGGAAGCCGTTGTGGCGAGGGAGGCAGGGAGGGGGGGAAGTTCGGAGGGTGGAGTGAGGAGGTAGAATGTTCGATAGAGGATTGGACTAGTTAGTAGATTTAGTGGGTCAGCTAATAACAATTTCTAGGGGTTGAAATTGGGGTGAAGGGGAGAGTTGGTGTAGGCTTACTTCACTGAGAGACTTTGCTCGCCCATGAACATGAACAGACCGGCTAGCACGCTGGTCGGGGTCAAGCCAAGGACTTTCATGAAGGGTGGGCTGACGAAGAGGAGGATGGCGGCGGCGTGGAGAAAGGATGACCATCGCTGCTCATAGACGCGTTTGACCTCGTAGGTCTCGGTCTTCTCCTCGCCGTCGACGAGGATGGTGCGCTGCTCTTTCTCGGTATGCATGAGGGATTCGGAGTGGAGCGGCGCTTGCGGGAGGAGGCCGTTGGCTGGTGGAACCCCCAAAATCCCACAGAGAGCTGTGGTGGTACCAAGGAGGATAATGTCCCACGCGAAACCGCCGGGCTTGCGGGTCCCATAGCGGTCGATGGTGCAGATGATAGAACTGACTTCGTGGTCAAAGAAAAAGAGGATGGTGATGATGACTCCCGGGAGGATGGCGGCGAAGACCCATGTCACGGGTAGGTGCCAGAATTCGACGAAGAATTGGTTGCGATCTGGAGACGTGGGCTTGAAGGAGGTGCTCACGGGAAGGGTCATCTTATCCAGATGAGCCAACTCGCCGATGTGGGGAAGTCCGATAAAGACGATGATGGAGATTGCAGCGGCATACTCGGTCAGGCCCATGCGGATGTATCGGTGAAACAAAGGACGCCAGCTCTCTGCGGTCGACAGAAAGATTGCCAACAGCATTGTTCCAACGGCACCAATGACGGCGTACAGGAAAGCTGCGAACGACAGACTTTCATGGGCTCGTTCTAGCTCCTGAATAGCTTTGTGGAAGTAGATAATGCTGTTGAGGAGGGAGAATATCTCCGTGGCGAATGTTGTGACATATCGCATTGTCCAGTCATGGGCATTTATGATTGCCAGGACATAGTGCAGCCAGCCAGCATGTATTAGTGACCAGGCCATGAAAGGCAAGAAAGGTATCTGTTAGAATGCCATTAGTCCTTGATTTCGCTCCTGCACTAGTGGGCTGCGTGGGCTGCGCACCTTGAAGACCTCATCGCAGAGTTTGTAAATATTCTCTGCGAGCACTGAAAAGGGCCCAGTGACCCCGAGGATGGTCAAGGGTTGGATGGAAAATCTATGAACAACTGTAAGCCAGCGCCCAACGTAGGCAATTAGATGTATGAACACACAAAGAGAAGATTATGCTGCATAGGCCAGTACTGAACACCACCTCAATCGTTCCCCAATGCTGGCCAGTTAAGACGTACAGGTCGCTGGCAAAAGTGATCCCAGGAAGAAGGTTAGTGAAGAAGACATAGACGGCACTGGCGAATATCAGCTGGTTGAAGATCTTCCAATCTGAGACATATCGGCGACGCAGGTTCAATATATCCTGTTTGACTAAGCGGAAGGGACGCAAAGGACCACCAGCAGCCACAGACCCACGCAAGACCCGGATAGCTTTGGGAGTATGTTTAGATGGGGTGATTATGGAGTGCGCATCTTCATCGTGGCTATCATCGTCCTCATCCTCGTCCCGATCCCGTCGCAATTCGCGGCTGCGCCGACGCGGACTACGCTTGGGCGATCTCCGCTGCTTGCGGGACCTCAGTCGCAAGGACGAGACCCGAGTAGATGGTGGACGAAAGGCAGAGATCAGAGTCATCCTGTGATTAATGACCTTGTCGGGATAGAAGTCTGTGGAGGGGTCCGCGATAAGATGCGATTGTGGGGGAGATAATATGGCCCCGATTGTTGCCCGCCTTGGCCGGGCTTGGTAGATGACGTATCATATCCCCCCGGTAAATAGTACTCGTGGACGATAGACGGTACCAGAATGTGCTTGCACCACGGTTCTAATTTTGGCGCATTCCTGCTCGAAACCCGGGTCTAGCCTTCGACTCGGTCAAGATTGATATTTGCATCTGTTCTGCGGCGATGAGCAGTGGTCGGTCCAGACCCGTCCAGACGAACAATCAAGTACCAAGAGTTCTTCAACTCAAATAATCTGATGCTGACGGTCTCACAAACAGCTTCATTGGATGTATATTAGAAAGCGTGTGCCACATGATAGAAATGAGCTCCACTTGGGTACCATCCATGACTAGAACAAGCCACGAGCAGTTTCTCTCTCGCATCGCGAGGTCCGATGAAGATATCCCGTTATGGAAATCGTAACTATACCCATTCACACCGCCTGCCTGACCGCCCTCATCTCCGAACGAAATTGCCGCTCTTCCAAGAAAGCATTTGAAAACAAGCATCGCAATTCAGTCCATACCTTGACCTCACTCATGTCTTTCTGATCATGAGCAAGAACAGTTTCTATGTGAACCTACACAGTGAACAGCTCAGCATTTACACCTTAATGGACATACGATAATGGCCGCCACATTTATTCCGCGCCAGGTGTTCCCCAATTATGCGTCGATCCCCCGGTCGTACTTCTTGGGCCACCATAGGGCTGGCTTGAGGAAGATGCAAAATATGCTCTCGTCCATCGACTATGTTATCGAGTGCCGGGACTATCGGGTGCCGGTCACCTCCATGAACCCAATGTTTGAGGAAGCGCTGGGGAAGACCAGACGACTGGTTGTGTATACTAAGAGAGATCTGGGTGCAGAATCTGGGTCGGGGGCGCAAAAAAAGGTTGGTGGCATAGCCTACAATTGCTCCCTTTCAGGCTACTACTTGTGAGGGTGTGCCAAATGACTGATTGCAATTTGTCAAAATTCCAGGCGGAGAAAACCATCCGGACTTTCAACAAGAACGGGGATTCGCTCTTCGTCAGCTCATCGTCTCGGATGGACGTCGGCACCATCCTGAAACACCTGCGTGACGATTCAGGGATTCCGGAGAGACTCGTCGGCACTCGAGTGATGGTGGTCGGTATGCCCAACGTGGGCAAGTCGACGTTGATTAATAACCTGCGCAATCAGGGGGTAGGAAAGGCCAAGGCCGTACGGACTGGAGGCCAGCCGGGTATCACGCGCAAGATCGCCTCGCCCGTGAAGATCATCGAACGCGAGAATGGCTCTCATGTCTACGTCTTGGACACGCCGGGTGTCTTCATGCCGTACGTGCCGGATGCGGAGAACATGCTGAAATTGGCACTCTGCGGCTGCGTCAAGGACTCGGTCATCGCGCCCGTCACGCTGGCCGACTATCTATTGTACCATATCAACCGCAACGATGCGCAAGTCTATCAGCGATGGTCATCTCCGACAAATGAGATCATGCCACTCCTGAATGACTTCGCCCGCCAGACAGGCCTTCTGGCCAAGGGCGGAATCCCCAACACGGAGCTTGCAGCCCTGCATTTCATCCAGAAATGGCGCGCTGGGGATCTGGGCAAGTTCATCCTCGATGACCTGCAGGCCGAGGAGCAACGGCTGTTGGAAGGTCGAGAGCGGGAGCCCATTATCAGTCGGACGCAGGCGCTGAAGGCTGACAAGCTGTCACGGAAGCAACCCAAGCTGTAAATAATCACATCTCGCACATAGGCTAATATAGCTCGCAACCAACCACCTGTTGTACAAAAGAACGAATCATGTTGGTATCATCAATATGCTTTTGCCTCCCTTAGGATGCATCGTAAACCTGCCAGCGGGTGGGGCAGCACCGCGTATGAAAATAACAAATGTCAAGCAAAAATATGTGAGAAGCAGCGAGAGAACACAACATATGGGTGGAAAAAGGGACCAGAACGCCATAGGAACAAATATGACAGTAGAAGAGAAACACCCCGAGAAGACCCCAAGATGACATCACAAATGAGCAGGAATATAAGCCACAAACTCCAGAGCACACAGATATCAAATATCCCCACCCCATCCCCTCAGGAGATCTTATCCAGCAGTCGTCTCCTCCGTCGGTCGACCAGCTCCTCCTGCACCTCCTCCAGACTGGGCAGCCTCCACTCGACCCCGTCCCCAGCATCGCCCGGCAACGGCTCCCACCCATCGTCCCCATCATCACCCTTCTTGCGCAGACGCTCCACGGCCTCCTTCTCCTTCTGCTTCTCATACGCCAGCAGCGAGCCATCCTCCTCATCCAACCCATACCCGAAATAATTGGCATCGACCTTCTTCGTCGCAATATCGCCGCCCCTCCCCTTAACCCCACCACCACCACCAGCAGTCTCCGCATCATCCTCCTCGGCAGGCCGACCGCGCCGGGCCGCCGCCTCGAACATCTCCTTCACGCCGGGCAGCTCCCTCGCCCGCCCGAAGTACCGATACCCTTTGCCGCCGCCGGGGATCTCGCGGCCGTCGTCGTCGAACACGCGGCCGGACCCCCGCATGTAGTTGGGCCCGCCCAGGTTGCGGATCTGCAACTCCCACGTCCACTTCTCCCGCATCAGCTTGTTGATCTCGTCGTTCAGGTCGCGGATCTGGTAGTCGCTCAGGCTGGGCTCCTGGATGCGCGACACCTTCCGCGAGATCTCCTTCAGCACCTGGCCGCGCCATTTCTCGCACATGGGGATCGAGTCGACCGAGGTGATGGCCTTGGGCCGCCGGGTGCGGCCGATGTCGATGATTCCGAGGTCCGCGGCCTGTTGGGCCCGGAACCGGAAGAGCATCGACTGAGCTTTTTCGCTGTTACGCGCCTATATATTGCAGAACGGGGGTGGGGTTAGTTCCATCGTATAGCTGTGAAGGGGGAGGGGGCAGAAATGGGGGCATTGTAGTGGCTATTTCTTCCAAGGCAGCAAGAGCCCAACTTGTGACGGGAATTGGAGCAAGGTAAAGGTGGGTTGGGTGGGCAATGAAGAGCTTGTTTGTTTCGGCGGGGAAGGCTATGCAGCCGGATGGGTCTGTCTCGCACGAAAGCGAGTCAGGAAGTAATTCATCGATCGAGAACTTACCATCTTGAAAAGCGACGCGGGCGGATCCCGTTCGAGGTGGGCGCTCGAGACAGAGAGGTTGAGGTGCAGAAGCAGAGAGGCATGGAGTCTTAACGTCCCAAGCTGGAGTGGATTCGCCCGCCGCCCGCTCCAAGCGAGCGCCAAGCGTAGCCGCGCGGCTAGGAGAGCTCCGTCGGCTGGCAGCACCACGTTGGTTTGACCTTAATATCTAGCTGGCATAAGCCGCCGACCTTCTGTATGGTCCAAGTATAATCTAAGCTGGTCAAATGATCTATAACTGGAAATTCTTAATGGGCTTCTATATACTAAGAATCAAGAACGACGTCACTTGAGTGACAGCGGTAGTGGCGCCCAATTAGTAGAGTACCCGCACCGGATACACACATGGGCCCACGTGTAGGGCGAGCAGATGTAGCAGATGTCGAAGAACACACGTAAACGTGTGAGCAATATGCGGCATCTCAAGCTTCTATATGTTGTATTGGGACCCAAGGCCATGTACAGTTACTGTGGTCTGTCTGGACGAATATAAAAGCAGTCGTTCAAGTATACAATCATGCGATAGGCATATTCCCATCAGAAGTCATCAAAAATTGCATCAGGGACCTGCGTAGCGGTTTCTATGAAGATCAATAAAGTGCGCAGACACATCATATCAAATACCATGTGAGACCAAACCCATACGCCCTAAATCCAATCACACTCCATAGCCATGCAGGGCTTCAATCAAGTCATGTTCGTAAGTTGTCGCTCAGGCCCTGGATGAAGATTTAGCGCCCGAGTCTCGAATTAGTAGGCAGAAGTGTAGTAGAGTCATTCTGCCAGGTCGTCATAGTCTTACAAGAAGCCTTTCGTGTTGCTGGGCATCCGTTGTGGTATATCGCCGGAGTTGTACACGCTGCTGCCCCGTCTGCTGCCAGCATCACTCCATGCGCTGATCCGTCCGATTGCGCTGCCCCGTTCAACACGGAGGCCCCTCCAGCCCTCCAATTCTCGCTCCACCCGGAGTAGCTTCTCTCGTTCTTCCCGCAGTTCTCGTTCCGCTCGACGCGCCTGGAGCTGTGCCTCGGACTCACTTTGCTGAAGCTCCTCGATGTCGCGCAGGAGTCGGTCGATCTTTGCGCGTGTCTTGGTGACGTCATCGTTCAGCTGTGCATTCATCTTATCACGTCGCTCAATCTGGGATTGGAGATCCTTCACTGTTCGGTCAACGTTACGCAACGAGCGTTGTTCAGAACTTTGCTTAGACTCCTGCTCCTCAAGGTGTGTTTCCAGCTAGTTATCGGGATTGGTTAGTGATTCAAAGGGTCGTACCCTTGTATGCGGAAGAGATAGACTAACCTCCTTGATTCTCTTGTGCAGGAAGCGTACGTCCTGGCTACCAGAAGAGTAGCTCTTAGTTTCCAAGTCGACGCAACGCAGCTGTGATTCCTTCAATTGCTTTTCGAGCGCAGCCTTGTCTTTGAAGAGTTGGGCATTGTTCTCTCTCTCAGCAGTAACTTCCTTTTGCATTTCCATCACCAGAGCCTCCGCGCGCCGCATCTTGCCGACAGCAGCAGCGGAAACATCTTCTTGTTGAGCAAGTTTGGACTTCAGCTCTAGTAATTCACGGTCCATGCTTGCGGCATTGCGCATAGAGGGACTCTCTCCTTTGACGAGATCTTCAAGTCTTGCACCGGCTTCAGCCAAGCGCGTTTCCAGAGTTTTCTTCTCTGTAAGTAGCATATCGCGCTCTGCGGTCACGTCATCAACTGAAGTACGCAGGGTCCGGACTTGTGATAGCAACGACACGACCTTGCTCTGAGCCTCGTTGTGCGCAGATACCGCCTCATCACGAGAGGTCGTCACATCTTGAAGCATAATGTCCATGCGGGCCTTCTCCTTTGCCCATGTTGAGCTGTTCAGAACCTCGTTGTCCCACTTGCTGCGAAGATCTTCGAGCTCCTCGCGCAGGCGGGCATTTTCACCGCGAACATTCAGCACCTTCTCACGCTCCATTTCAAGTTCGTTGTTGAGGGTTGTGAACTCGCGCTGATACTTCTGTCTGGTCTGCTCCATAGAGGTTTCCTTGTCCTCAATGTCAATGGCACGTTGGTTTCTGTAATCCTCAAGCTCGTTTTGGAGACGCTGCTTAGCCTGGAGGGCAGCTTGTAGCTCTGCCGCCTGATCCTCCATTCGCGCTTCGAGAGATTGTGTTTGGCGTTGCAGGTCTTCGACGAGAGCATCCATCTGTTTCCGCTCGGCCATGATCTGAGCGCAAGTATCCTCGGCCTCCTGGGCTTGGGTTTTGGCAAACTGCTCAGCCCGAGTGGCCTTAAGGACAGTGATCTCTGCCTGCTCAAGCTTGTTGAAATATTCATCCGCTCGGGACTTGTAGAGGCTCAGACTCGATGCAAGATCAGCGGTTTTTGAGGTCTCTGCATCAAGCCGGATTTGAAGATCAGAGAACTCTTCGAGAAGTTGGTTCCGGCTGATGGCATCCTGATCCCGTGCATCTTGCACCTCTTGGAACTCGGAGCGGGTGTCACGTAGCTCTACCTCCAATGTGGCCTTGGCGCGCTTGAGTTTCTCCAGTTGAGCCTTAGAGTCACCGAACTCTGCCATGGTTTCCTTGTGTACCTGAAGCAATGCTCTCCTCGACTGCTCTTGCGAGTTGATCAAATCGTAAAGTTCTTCGTGGGACTTGGCTTGGATGTCGCGGAGCGAGAGCTCCCCCGTATGGATGCTCTTCTCCATTGCAGAGAGCTTCCTTGCTGAATCATCAAGCTGCTCATGCAGACGGCCATTTTCACGCTCAAGCAGCTGCATTCGGCGTACAGAGTCATCCTGCCACATATCGCGGGCTGGGGATGCTTGAGAAAGCTGGTTCTGGAGATGCTTGTTCTGCATTTCGCTTATCTGGAGCTTGTTTTGAAGTTCCTCGATTTCTGCCGCCATGTCCATCCGCTTCTGATAGCCTACGGTGTCCACGGTCCTATCGGAGCGAGCGGAGTCTGCCATTTCGTTGAAGTTCAGTTTCCGGTTGGGAGTCGTGGGCGTGCTAAACTTCTTTGCAATGTTGTCGGAGTTCTTTCGGAGATGGGTTGGTGTACGATTTCCCGCAACCTGGTTCTGGTCGATCTCCTCGAGTAATGCCCGTTTCGAGGAGGCATATCGCGCGTCGAGCTCCTTCATCTCATCGCCATGACGACGGCGCATTTCCGCCAACTGGCTCTCGGCCCGACTATATTTCTCCTCGGTCACCTGCAGCCTGCTTCTGGTGGCTTCAAGTAATTGGGCCAGGTCGATCTTTTTTGAGAGGTCAGGCTGTACCTTTTCCCACGTTGAATCAGAAAGATCCGCTTCGGGTTCCACGACCTTGTGTAGCAGCATCAGCTGACGATGCAAATCTTCGATCTCCTTATTTGCACCATCAAGAGAGTTCTGGAGTTGACGCGTGTTGGTCTGTGCCTGTGTGCGGAGTTGTCTTTCCGTCTCCAGGTTTCTGTTAGCTTCCGCGAGCTGAATTCCCGCTGTAGACGCGGCCTTCTCAGCGTTACGGCTGGCTTTATGCTCTCTGTTGACTTCGTGGTTCAAGTCCTCCAAGCTGAGAGAAAGCTTCTCCTTCTGCTTCTCCAGCGAGGTGATTGAGACGTGAAGATCGCCAAGCTGACGAGTAAGCTTCTTATTGTCTTCTTCTAACTTAGCTTTCTCCCTTTGAAGGTTGGTGATACGAAGCCGTTGGTTGTCACTTGCTCTTGAAGTTGACCTGGCTATGTCAAGATTCTTTTGCTGGATCTTGGTAAGGAGAGCACGATTATCATTCTCTGACGCTGTGAGTCTGCCCTTCAAGGTTACTAATTCTCGTTCGAGACGCTCCTTGGCTTGGTCATGGCGAATGCGGAAGTTGTCAGACTCAGCAATGGCGTTCATCAGCTCTTGTTCTCTGACGGCAAGTCGGGATCTTTCAGCCTCGAGCTCCTCCAATTGGTGAGACCGAGTATCGAGGTCTTTCTGGACACTCTGCAGACGTTCGGTAGCCTGCTTCATAATGTTGTGCTCAATGTCAGCTTCCGCATCCAATCGAGCAGTTTCGACCTTGGTAAAGCGGTCCCTAAGCTGGATCAGCTCAGTCTGCAGCTCCTTCCGCGACTCTTCAGCAGCAACGCGGGCCTCAGTGGCGCGACGCAGAGTGTCTTGCTGGATGTACATCTCTTTCTCAATGATGATCTTTGATTCATTGAGTGCGGTGTACTTATCCTTCAATTCTGCCAGGTTGTGCTCAGCGAGCATCTGGACATCATCCCGGGACTGCCTTTCCCGGCTCAGATCTGCTTGCGCCTTGAAAAGTTGTGCCTTAAGCTCCTGGATCTGCTGTTCAAGGAGCTTTCGACTCTCACCAGCTTCGGCGTCTTCAGAGATCTTCTCCTCTAACAGCTTCTTGACGTCAGCGGCTTCACGCTCAAGTTGAATCTTCTCAGACACCATAGCATCACTTTCAGCTTGAAGCTCGCGCAGTCGTCGTTGCATATTATCATGGCGGGTTGAAAGCGTAGCCTTTTCGGATTCTAGCTGGCGCTTCTCATCCTCGTGCTTCTTCGCATCGTTACGAAGCACTGACATCTCGCTCTCTTTCCGACGGAGCATCTCTTCATACCCCGTTGATGTTGACGACAGCTCGGATATCTGCTGTCGGATAGTGCGATTCTCCTCGACGAGCTCCTTAATGTGTTTCTTGGACTGATCCAACTCCTTTGAGGTCTTCGCATGTTTGATCTCTAGGTCTTGATCTGTCTTCAGCAGTTTCGCCTCCAGATCTTGAAGCTTGCGTTCTTTAAGGCTGAGATGGCTCTGGAGCATCTTGATTTCCTGGCCAAGTTCCTGAACTTGGGCGTCTTTCTCTGAAGAGGTTCTTGTCGCCTCGGCCAACTCGCCTTCAATGTTTTCAAGTCGAGCCTGCATCTCTCGCTTCTCGTTCTCGAAACGTTGGATGATCTCGCCCGCTTGTTCAAGTTGGGTGATCCGCAGCTCAAGCTCGTCGTCTGTCTTTTTCTTCGCTGCGATGAGATCATCCAGCTGATCCTCGAGACTCTCCTGATCGGCAATGGCACCAGCCAGCTTCTCACTTAGTTCAACTTCCCGAAGCTGAAGTCTCTTGAAGATCTCCTCCTTATCGAGAGCCAGAGCGCGTTCGCTCTCCAGAGTTTGTTGGATTTTCTGAATTTCAATCTCTGTCCGGCGCCTTTCCTCCTCGAGCTTGTGCCGGTTCGCCAGATCTTGGTTCATCTTCAGTTCCAACTCTTTAATCTTCTCATCTCGCTTCTTGACTTCGCTGGCCGTCCGTGTCTCACCAAGGAGGGGTTTCATTCTTGAAAACAATCTCCACCAGGGATTAGCCTTCATATCCAGATATACTCGGAAATTCTGCTGGATGATTCGTGTGGCTTCAGCTCGGTAAAGACGTTTGTTTGAGATTCGCCGTTGCACAAAGCCTCGAGCAACAGACTGAAAGCGGGTCATGATGGTACGGATAAGCTGGTCTCGTTTCTCTTCCAATTCGGCCAAAACACCAGCCCGGAAGAAGACTTTGGTACGACCGACTCGGTACCATGTAGGGTCCATCTCAAGCTTCTGTAGCATCATGTGAGCGGCATTTTGGCCATCCAGGTAGCCTTTCGGCATCTTCTGGCACAGCACCTCATAACGTTGACGGAACTCAGCAAAGGTTAGTCTGTTAGGGAAGCCTGTGCGCGCAATTCTGATGCCCTCAAGTACACCGTTGCATCGCAATTGATCAAGGACAAGAGGGGCATTAAGCATCTTAGGACGCTTTTTGTGGTTGGGAATGATGCATCGAACGAAATGGGGATGAGTAGAGTTCAATTGCTGCATCAACTTGGCCAGTTGCTCCTTGTGCCGCTGGGCAACGGTGCGGAAAAGTCCCTTCTTCACACGACTCTTTGGGTAATCACTTTCGTCGTCAAGGTCACCACAATCAGAGAAGAGATTCGCAACATGCGGCTCGTCCGAATGAGCGAGAAGACGAGTTATGTTGTCGTTAAGCGGGTCCTTGTTCTTCTCGAGCCAGCCATCAGTATCGTATTCCACCTCAGCCGCGTAGTGCGTGAGCACAAATCCCTGGCTAAGACGGGAGGCACGATATTTGGCAGATTTGCGATCCCAAAGCGAGTGTAGCTTTTCGGTGAAGGTTTTGTCAGTGGCCTTTGGCATGACGCAGTCTTCATCCAAGCAAGAGAATATACCGATGGGGTTGGTCAATTCAATCAAGTCGATTGTTGGCTGCAGGTCTTTCCCGAAGTCAATAAACTGCCACTCGATCTGCTCCCTTGCGTATTCTTCCTGCTCTAGGACGAACATATGGTGGTTGAAGAACTGTTGAAGTTTCTCATTGGTGTAATTGATACACAGTTGCTCGAAACTGTTGTTCTC